TGAAAAAAATTTTCGTCTCATATCCTTAATATATATAAGACATGTTTAACCAAGTTGATTAGATTAAGAAAGTTAGTTAACTATAAAAAATATGATTATATTTTTTCTAAAATGCTATAATTATCTTTCTTAATATGCTCCCTCTCTTTTCTACTTAATTATAGTCGAATGAGTATCAACGGGTGTAATTTAAGTAAAACTCATAAATATAAGGAATGGGTCTTATATTTAGGATCAATATCAACTCAATAATTAAGTCCTATATGAAGGACTAGATGAGTAATAAATATGAGATACATAATATATTGAAGTGTTAATTTACATGGAACAAAAGCAAACATTCAAAATAACGTGACGCAGTTTTCTACTTCCTAACCAAGTGGCCATGGATGTTCTAGATGGGTCCCCATACATAACGTGACAAGAATTTGCATAATGAGGAATTAGTTATAAGAAGGTCCAAGATTAAAAAAACATGGGGAAAACTAATCTTCAAGTCCTTATAAGGATCAAAATTTCTGGGACCATAAAATATCCTCCTGATTCAGGATGGCATCCAATTCCCTCTCGTATTCCAGCAAGACAACTTCCCCCTCAGACTCCCCAACAGAAGCTCTCAGCATTCTTTTAATGATTTTGATGATCCTTACACGAATGTTTGGGACGAGGAATTTGAAGGGGAGGGGAGGAAAGAGGAGGGATTTTGCTTCCCTCTACTTGTTTGCCTCCCTCTCCTTGTTTGCCTCCATAAAATTTTTAGGAGAGAAAAAAAGTTTTCTAAGATTTGTAAATTTTAAATTTCAAAGAAATAATATTTTTAAATATTAAAAATACATCATTATAAATTTTCTCCATTATATTTTGGAGAAGAATTCAATATTTCTTCCAATTTCTCACTAACTATTGGAATAGATTGCAAAATTAAATTATTTTTTTAGATCAAGTTATTTTATCATTATATAATTTAAAAAAATAATTATTTAAAAAGCTAACTATTGTGAAATCTAATTATTCTATATTACAAAATCAAATTTCATTTTTTAAGTCGTTCAAATTCAAAATTTTCTTTCATATTAGTTTGGTGATACAAATCTTTCTTTTTATTATTATGGATTTTTATCGTGTGTTACATTTTTTGATATTTTGTGTAAAAATATACTTATTTTTTTTATTATATTAATTTTATAAAAAAATTATTAATATTCTTATCTTGTGAAAGAATATTAACTAATTTTAATAAAACATAAAACAAGTTTGGCGAAAAATTACCTTTTTCTTTTAGTAAGTGTCTGCTGCTGAGATTAATGATGATGTAGTTCCTATTAACATCAACTCCAAAGATATACTAATTTATTTTACAATTAAAAATATATTTAAATTATTATATTATTAAATATATAATTATATTGTAAGAATATGATTTAAAAGCATGAAAGTCGAATTGAGCGATGGATTAGTGACAAAAAAAATTCTATCAGCAATTTGTTGCTAAATTTAACGATGAAATTTTGTTAGAAGTTTGTGACGTAATAGTTTTTTCATCGATAATAAACTGTTTTTTACTGTTTTTTTACCTGTTTCCCATAATCATTTGTATATAATAAGTAGCAATTTATATGATAAACGTATCAAGTTACTACTTTGTTCTTGTAATTTAATGTTAATTTCTATTCTTAGCTCATGTTACAAAGAGTAAGTCTAGTATTAAAAATAGAAGGGAGTAAATTATTCCGTATGTTTTGACTAATTCTTTGTTTTTGTAATCATTCATAGCGGGCTTTCACATTTATCCATACATACATATATGTAAGCATGAAAATTCAAACCAGTTTGGATAAGGTCAAGGAACTAATTAGGGTTATGGAGATTTTTTTTTTTTTCCAACGGGGAAATGAAAACTTCTTTATCGAATCAACCACCTGACAATGGCGATAACATAAATAAATATAGGGCGTGCATATACAGCAGTGAAATCAGTGTGTAAAAGTCTAATAGGTGATATCATGTATTAAAAAATAATGGTTTGAATCAGCCGGTGTCTAGACCAATGTGAAATGATAGTCAAATAAAGGGATCGTTAAAATATTGATGTATCATGACATTTACTTCTTTGATAAATAGAATACATAAATTTTGGTAAAATAAAAAGTGACAAAATAGGTTTATGTATTTTTTATTTTTAAAAAATTCAATCAATATTTTTAAACTATGATTGTGCGTATCTATAGCTAATAAGCATGCGGTGAAAGGAAGAATAATGGGCAAATAGAAGGGGGGGGGGGAATGTACGTGCACAAATACACACTCATATGTTCTAAACTTTACTAAATTATAAAATAAGTAAATACATTATAGATGTTCACCTCCATATAGTTTCGTACACCATGTAATTTAATTACAAGATTATATTACATTGAAATTAAAAATGGTTTCCCTTTTTCAAATTTTGAGAATATTGGAGAAGTTGTTAAAACAAGCTCTACAAATAAAGAAGTTGGAAAACGTAATATTTCAAATTAGGTACCTAATACTTCAAAGTCCCAATGAATGAAGTAGTGTCTAATTTGGTATTTTGTAAATATAGTTAAATAAGTAAAATATCCTTATATATTAAAAAATTTATTAACAAGTTGTGAATTAACAATAACAAGTGTTAAACAACAATTGACAAATTATTTATCAACAAATTGTGAACTAGCAATAAAAAATATTATATAGTTAATGACAAAAAATATACTCGCAATAACAAGTTTAACATAAATTTGATACAGAAATATTTTAGTTATTTAAATACATTTGTAAAATATCAAATGAGCACTACTTTTTTTGTGTGTGGTTATTTTCAACTCTCAAGTTCCTAAATTAGAAAATAATAATCTCATGGTTCTTTTTATGAAATTTTTTTCTAATAAGTTCGCATGCGGAAAGAAACTGACAAATAATATATAAATTAGATTAAGGCGGGCAAGTAGTTATATCTTTAACACTTTATGTTAGCATCAAATTAATATTCAACCAACATTGATTGCTCATCGGAGAATTGTGCTTCAATTGGATGGTGGGACATGTTTTTTAAATATACCAGGACTTATCTCTGGCGTGGAAAAAAAAAGGACTTATCAACAATGGCTCATATATATATATATATATATATATATATATATATATAGATAACTTATACAGGCGTGCGTTTAAAAAAAAAAACCGGTAATATGCAGTGGCAACAAGAAATTACTACGAAATATTGCCTCCTATGCTTAATATAAAATTCAATTGACTAATTTAAAAAAATTAAAAAAAATAATTGAGTTAGTTATTTATGATAAATAGATTTTGTCTTTTTTAAAATACTCTTATTAGTTATATGTGTTTAAATTACTCATTAATAATAACTTTTTAACACATGCAGATAACATAGGGAAGTTTGAGAGCAAAATAGGTAAATATTAAATATAAAGTGAATTGAGATCTTATATTTAAAACTAAATTGAATGCCAAACTAGTTTTTATATTAAGATTCAGAGGTAATATTAAATTAACAGCGATAATTGCTAAAACTACTGTTATACTGTAGCACGTTGATTGGCGCCAAACGGTATTAGGCTTGATAGTGAGATTTTGCATACTATTATAATTTAATTTGATCTTTTAACACCATGAATTAATTTTATTATTTATATATATAATGTTTACAATTTTTATAATTTAATTATATATTTTTAATATTGCAGGATAAGTTTGAATAAGTCAGGTATGATTGAGGATCACTTCTGGTTGGGCACAATAGGAGGCTTGAGTGAAATATGAGAGTTAGATGTAACCGGGTTTAGATGAATCCGAAAAACAACTCAGAGCTCTAAGTTACTTTCAATATATCACATAATAGCGAGGTAATTTGAGTTGAACAATAATTATATCATGTTGAGACAGAATAATAAAGAACACGTATTATAACATGGCCATCGCCAATTTTATTGAAATTTTATATATTTTATACAATTGGTTCCTTTCTTTGGTGAAATATAATTGGTGATTACCAATTAAACTCCTTTTCGCCAACGATTACCAATCAAACACACTATCATCAGGAGCTATTGAGTACAAATGAAACAAGCAATGCCATGGCATGTGTGTGTTTTGTTAATGATCAATACAATGTTTTATTGAAGATATACAATCAAATGAAAAAATTATTAACTCCCATCCATATAATAAGCCTCTTTTATCTCACTGGACATTAACATGTATGCAACTTTATGCAGCTACTACTGTCAGCCCTCCACATTTTGCATGCAAGCGATTCCATCTTCCAATTCTCACAACAAATAATAATAATAATAATAATACAACAAACAAACAACAAGCCTTATCCCACTAGGTGGGGTCGGCTACATGAATCACACGACGCCATCGTGCTCTGCCAACAACCCAATCCTTAGATATGTTGTTGATTAGGAGGTCTCGTTCAATGACCTCATTCAGCGTTCTTCTCGGTCTTCCCCTGCCTCTTTTTATGGGACTCCATCTTGTTTGATCCACCCTCCTCACCGGGGCCTCCAAAGGCCTTCTCTGCACATGTCCAAACCATCTTAAGCGATTTTCAACCATTTTCTCTTGGATAGGTGTCACACCGACTCTTGTCCTGATCTTTTCATTTCGAATCCTATCTTTTCTTGTATGACCACACATCCATCTCAACATCCTCATTTCTGCTACTCCGACTTTGTGCTCTTGTTTTCCCTTTATTACCCAATATTCACTACCATACATCATAGCTGGTCTTATAGCAGTCCGATAAAATTTTCCTTTAAGTTTCTCAGGTACCTTTTTATCGCAAATAACTCCGGTAGCTTTCCTCCACTTTAACCAGCCAGCTTGTATTCTATGAGAAATGTCTCCATCAATTTCCCCATCCTCCTGTATAATGGATCCTAGGTATTTAAACTTTGATACTTGAGGAATAATTTGCTCTCCCATCCTCACCTCCAAATCCCTATTACCTTGCCTCCCTCCAAAATCACAATGCATATATTCTGTTTTGTTCCTACTCAAACGGAAACCTTTCGACTCCAAAGTCCTTCTCCATAACTCCAAATTAGTGTTAATCTCTTCTTTTGATTCCGCCATAAGAACTATATCATCCGCGAAGAGCATGGACTTAGGGATTCTTTCTTGAACAGGTTTAGTTAGAACATCCAAAACAGTGTTGAACAAGTACGGGCTCAGAGAGGATCCCTGATGTAGGCCAATCTTAATAGGGAAGTCCTTTGTCTCTCCCCCAGGCGTCCTTACACTGGTAGTTGCCGCCTCATACATATCTTGTATGACTTTGATATACGCAACCCGTACACCTTTCTTTTCCAAAGCCTTCTACAATACTTCTCTTGGCACACGATCATAAGCCTTTTCCAAGTCAATAAAAACCATATGTAAATCTCTTCTTTTACTTCTATATCTCTCCATTCCCTTAGTAAATAGATTGCTTCCGATGTGGATCTCCCTGGCATAAATCCAAATTGGTTTTCCGAAATAGAAGTCTCCAACCTCAATCTATATTCCATCACTTTTTCCCACAACTTCATTGTATGACTCATAAGTTTTATCCCCCTGTAGCTTGCACAGTTTTGAATGTCTCCTTTATTCTTGTAAATAGGAACTAAAATGCTTTTCCTCCACTCATCCGGCATATTTTTAGAGCGTAGAATAATAATAATAATAATAATAATAATAATAATAATAATAATAATAATAATAATAATTTGTTGCAAGAGAGACCAACTTGTATTTCGGTGAAAGAATACCAACTTATCTAATTTTTATTTTATAATATAAAAAAATAAGGAAAAGCTCCACCAAAAAACCACTTCAATTTTGAAATTTCAAAAAGATCACTCTAATAAATGAAAGGATACATTGGTAAGACAATGGGAATCTGAGATTTAAATAATTACCCTTATTGGTTGAATTACTAAGTTTGAAAATTGAAAGAAAAGTAGTTGTAAATTGCAATAATTAAGTTTTGAACATAGCAGGAAGTATTGTCATCGATATTGCTTCAAGGATAGGAAACAGCTTAGATAATGCAAAAGAATGTAAATCGCAAACAAAAAATAGCTCATTACCGCTCAAAATTATTTTATCACTAATTTCTGTCAGATCACTAATGAAAATTTTATCATTAAATTTACCGACAAAATTTTTTTATCACTAAATTAACAATGGATTAGCCAGTTCCATTTCATCGCTAAACTACATGGCTAATTCATTGATAAACTTTTAGCGAGTAATTTTTTTTTCCCCAGTAATTCCATCAGTAATTCCCTTGCTGAATTTCATCAGTAATCAAATGTTTTTTGCCCCTCTAATAAAAGGCATTGCAGAGATTGTGAAAATGGCTGGAGGTGTTGTTAATATCTCTATAAGTGTAAGAAATACATGCCTTCCCTTGTTTTAAAAACTCTTAGAGACAGTTTTGTCTTTTCACCAAATATCAAAATTTCATATCCATACTGTCTAAGCAATCTGTCTTTTTGTTTATTAGAGTTTTTTAGAATTTCAAAATTAAAACGGTATTTTTGTGAATTTTTCTCAAAAATTAATTTGTCAATCTTTATAATTTCACCTGTTTTTTTAACTAGGCTCTTATATTTTTCTTTTTATTACTTATAATTTTCTCCATTATAAGCATCAGTCCCTATATACGTCCCTATATAATCATAATCTGTTAACTAGGACTAATGCAGATAAGGCGGCGGGTAAGTTGTTACAAAATACAGAATAAAAAATAGCATTTTAAAGAAAATAATGTAATGAACTTTATTTGTTATCAACATAAAAATTAACAATTATTATATTTATAACTCCCTACAAAAAAAAAACAGGAAATCAATGACGGAATTTTATTTCATCAACAAACTAAATTTTTTAACTTACACCACCAACGCAGCATTTATTTTAATTTAATTTTATTAATCATTATAATTATATTATTATATTTTATATCCTATGTAACAATTTTTTTAAAAAAATACCTATATCATTTATTTGATGCTTTCAATCAAGTTTTGGAGAAAAATAAAAAATTCATTATATTTTATTTATATTATACAAGAAAAATATTTAAAATAAAAATTTTAGAAAAAAGAAAATAATAATTGTAGATTGGCAGACTAACCCATCAATTCACCATAACGGGTTAGAGTTGGCTAAAAGCCAACCTACCATTACATGGGTTGTTTTCAATCTGCACAGTTTAACCCTAACCCGTCACGGGCCAGCCTATAACTCGCAGGTTGGCCCATATTATCACCCCTAATTTATTTGATACATCATTTGAATTTATATTTTTACCCCCTTAACTATTTTATAATAATTCCATTTCCTTGTATGTTTGTTGAGGTAAACTTGTGGTTACCGGGTCAATTTGACTCACCCCATGGTTAATTATTATTTTTTAGGTAAGGATTTAGGTGTTGGTTTCAAGGAAAAGTTGTCTAAAGCCTCAGTTTCTCATTCTACTTTGTATAACGTCATTTTGTTTTATATAATTATGATTGATTTATATTACCAAAATTTAAGGCATTTTTGTTATACTTAACATATTTTAAATTTTTCATTGTATTCAGGACATGTACTGTTTGGGGGAGCCCCTTCTTAAAAATTAATATTAGAATATTCTATAAATATATAAAATGCTGTAAATATAAATTTTATAAATATATTCAAATAAATTGTAAGATATGCTAAAATATATTACAAAATTTTAATAATTAATACTCTTAGGTCATATTTATAAGATAGAGATAATATATTTTTTGATCCTATTTATAAGTTATATTATTAAATTTTTTTATATGAATATAAAATTTTACCCTTTATTTGATATTGTATAAACTTACTCTAACGGTTACAATGTATATTAAATAGAAAAATTAGAAAGTTGTTGAATTTCAATATAGAGTTATAATGAAATTTAAGGTTTTACTCAATTATTTTGTTGAAACATGTTGTAAGTAATTTATAAATAAAACAAGAAGAGTAATTAAATTCTAATTATTAATAATTAAATATAATGTATTATTTATTATATTACTGTATTATATAGATATATAATTACGACATATAATTATATAGGATAAAGCATACTGTTGAACCTTTAATTTAATATGAGGTTTTAATTTAGTTCCTAAACTATAAAATGTATATTTTTAGATTTTTACTCCTAAAACTGTTAACAAAAAATAATAATATTGAGATTTTAAATATTAATAAAATATTTTTAAATGCTAACATATTAATTTTAATTTTTACAACAATCATCATTGTTAAAAAAATCACTTAATGTTATATCCAATGCAATTTTTTTTTTGGAATGGGATATCCAATGCAATTTGATTACTTGTACAGTTGTGCTACGTGTATAATTTTATTACAATATTACGTAAATTTTGGCCAAGAAGAAAAAATCAGGTAAATATATCTGTGATGTCGTTGATGTATGAATAATTAAATCTTCTGAAACCTTCTTCCCGTTCACCACCCCGACTGAACTTGTTGATCATCTGCCTTTCTTCGCCTGCCGAAGTCCCCAGCAGAGAAGACAACCCTCGATCACTGTCTCCAACAGTTCTTGGCCGCTCCCAGATCAACAGTGAATTCTCGACTAGGGTTTAATTTCTTGTTCGTCCCCTAATTCTGATGTCTCAGACAGCAGAAGGAAGGAGAGAGGAGCTGCCAGCTGAAACGGTGGAGACAAGGAGAAGGGAGTCCAATAAGTTCCTCTCCGTGATAGAGATCATGGATGAGCAGGATCTGGCCAAACAGATCCTCGCTCTTGCTATTCCGATGACAGTGGCCCTGGTTGTCTCCCCCAGCGAACTCGTTAAAACCCCCCAGATGCAATTAGTGGTGATTTCTCTCTCATTCGCCACGGCTTTTGCTTTCAACGGCCTTCTGCTCCGTAAGACTTGCATCGAAATTTCCACTGCATGTCGGATCCTTGGATATGCCTTCATGATTTTCTCGTATTTTACTCTTCTTACTTTGTTCTTGCCTCTACACTTTATATGGATCCCTCTCGTCTGCTGCCTTGGTTGTCTGACTCCACTGGCCATGGCTTTGTACGGATGGGGACGCTTTCGCAGAGACAAGCCGAAGGACGCTGAAAAAGGAGAGTTCACTATTAGTAAGGCCATCCCCTAGCGATCAGCTATTCATCTGCATGTCGTGGTCTATGATTATAATTTTTTGTACAAGAAGCATACCAATATATATGATGGACAAGAAAGACTTTAACTTAATTAGAAGTCGTAGGTTAATATGTTGGACAAGAATACTTCAGAATCTTGTTGGCCATTTCATATGTAAGAGAAACAATTACCAATCACTACTTGAGGCTGTCAAAATTATCAAAAGTGGAGGGCAATAATTGTATTATTAGGTGAAAGAAGCATGGATGGATTAAAAATAGCTGTGTTTGATAGCAGAAGTGGGTGCAACAATATGCATCGGAGACATGTGTTTCACGGCAATTGCTATTTCCTATTTAGGAATTTGCATGCATCATGAACATGCGAGGGAAAACAGGTAAGGATACATTTGCTTTAATGGATTCATGAAATATCTTTGATTCTTATACATGTTTTTATGGTATGCAAGGTATAAGTTATTTTCTTGATTGCATTGAAGTTAAAATGAAATGAATATGAATTTATAAGCCTCCCGCGCACCACATGGGAGTGTAGCTAGTTAAAATAGCATATTTATGGCTATATCAATTCTGAAAGTGCTTTAGAAGTGAAAGATATAGAGGCAAACTATAGGAGTCAAAACTAAAGAGTGAGATGATAAGTCACTGCTTTCTCACGCGTGAAAGCTCTCTCTCTCTCTCTCTGAGCGAGAGGTCGTTGCGATGGTTATTGTCACTAGTGAAGAGTGAGCTCCGCCGCCCACTGGGATGGAGATAAAGAGCGTCCTCTACTACACATTGTAGCAGTAAGGAAAAGG